CCATCGCCTTCAACTATCCCAACGCAACAGAGCCCTGTATCAACGCCTCGGTCGTGCACATAATTCACCTCGACTTCGAAACCTTCAGCCGCTCCAGCGGCGTGACAGTCTCAACACTCTTCCAATCCATCTTCCAGATCTGGCTCGCCCGTCGCAGCGGCCAGACAAGCATCGCTTTCGACTACCTCTACACAGGCCGCAACGTGGACCTACCAGATCCACAAGGCATAAACGGCACCTGCGCCAATTTCCTACCCATGCGCTCCGAGGTTGACCCGCAGACTCCCGTGCAGGTGTATCTCCTGCGAACGCAAGACGATTTCTGGCAGTACACCGAGAATAACACTGTCGGAATTGAGGATATCTGTCAGGCGTGCGGAGTTCCGCGTGCAGAGGCAGAAAACCAGGCACTATTCTTGTTCCAGCCTTTCGAGCCGGCGTCGCCGGCGAAGGAGGTGACGCAGAAGTGGGTTGTGATGGCTAAGTCCGAGGTGACTATGTTGCAGCCTTACGCGGTTGTCTTTGAGGTTATTAAGACTGCGGATTTGAATGGGTATAAGTTGAAGTTTGCTTATGATAGCTCTGTGTGGGCGAAGGAAGAGGTGGAGGTGGAAGTTGGTGTCGTTGAACAGATGCTGTCGCGTGTTGTCGGAGATGCGAATGCTTTGATTGGAGATGTTCTTCAAACGGTATAAAATAACGGTATAAAATATTCGTATTTTCTTGTCATTGCCATGCTATTTCTTGTTTTTTTTGGCTATTTTTTGCTTCCTTGTCTTCTTCGATTCTCTTCCCTTGAGTTTGACTCTCTGCTGGCTCAAGACCTTTCCTTTGTTTTACTTTTCTTTAGAAATCGGTCCATAGAATGATACAGCAAGAACTAGCTTTGACAATTGTTACCTATGTGATTCCTTTATATTGATAAGTTGTGATAGAAGCTATGACTCTTCTATGAGTAAATCGCGGCAAATGTCATTTCGCCGAACCGCTGAAAATCCATCAGAGCCTTTTCCCAAGCTCACAGAATATAAACCCAATGTAAAAGCCCTGGATTAAAATTCAAACTCATTTCATCATGTCCCTCACCTTCGACTATACCCCCCTCACAGTTGAAGGCGTGAGCCTCAACCTATCAACGGTCCATAAGCTCAACTCAAGCCCACCAATTCTCTTTCTCCACGGCTTCGGTTCCAGCAAAGAAGATCTTGCCGATCTAACCATCCAGCCATCCTTAAAACACTATGGCTTCATTGCCTACGACGCCCCCGGCTGCGGCCACTCAGTCAGCGACAACCTCTCCGCCACGGACATCCCGTTCCTGGTGGCGACCGCCGAAGCCTTGCTCGCACGCTTCAATATAGACAAATTCCACCTGATAGGCCACTCAATGGGCGGTTTAACAGCCCTCCTCCTCGCAAACCAGCATCCAGACCGTGTCCTCAGCTTCGTGAATATCAAAGGCAATCTTGCACCAGAGGATTGCTTCCTCAGCCGCCAGACCTTCATGTTCCCAGCTGATGACGGTGATGCATTCATGGATGCTTTTATTGAGCGGACGCGCACATCGGGCTCGTTTGCCAATGCTATGTATGCTAGTACCCTGCGCGCCCGAGTCCGAGCTGGTGCGGTTCGGCCTATTTTCGAGTCTATGGTACAGTTGACTGATCATGGAGACTTGATGAATAAATTTTTGGCATTGCCGTGTCCGCGCATGTTCATGTTCGGGGAGGAGATGCGTGGCTTGTCGTATTTGCCGTTGTTGGAGAAGGAGGGCGTTGAGTTGGCCGATATTGTGGGCGCTGGGCATTTCCCTATGTATTCTAACCCCGTTGAGATGTATCGCCGCATTTCGGGGTTCTTGGATCGATGCGGATGGGATTAAGCTGTATATAGAATCATAGGTAAACCTAAAAGTGAACATAGATGCCGATATTTGCTCCTGCTGAGGTGACCAATGCTTAGGAAGGAGCTTTGCCTCAGGCCAGAAAAGCTGTCTATAAATTTAGGAACCACCTTGGAACCCCCCCTTGTCATTGGCTATTCCTCCGAATGTCAGGATATTGACGGATATTTTTGTTTACAAAAGAATCAACTCGGTACCTTGGACTCGGTCAGCTAATCAACAAGTGAGGCATTTGAATATGGCAAAATTCATTGAGCCATTGTGGCCTGATTCGCTGCAAAGGAGATTGGTTACCATGATCCAGCCTGAAACGGCACGCAGCGCCGAACATGACGACTCCGGCTCAGCCGGAATTTGCAATGGATGCAAGTATTCAAGGACCGCAACCGGATCCAAATTTCAAATAAATCGCTCAAGTACTTTGAGCACAAGATAGACGGCCTCCGTTGGACCTCCGCGCCTGAACTAACTAAAAACAGTGCGGGGGCATCCCGTCAGGGCTATCATTCGCGCCATCAACAGTTCAGATTCGCAGACAAGCTCTTTACCAATGTTTATGTGGATCCCCGGTGATATCGGGTTTGACTCCAGCCACTCGCAGAGGTCGTACAATGACGAAGCTTTGCTCTCTTGTGGGATATGGGGCCATGTTACATTTGGCGTCGAGTCGGTGGCTACTGAGTGATAACTCGTCTTTTAGATATTGGACAGACCATTGCTAGCGTTCCTGAGAAGGATCCACGCAATTTATGTGTCCAATCCTAACGGCTTGTTTGTTTGTCGGTATTCCCCGCTGTCTTCCCTGTATATGAAGACAATAGTATTGTCCCTCGAAACTTACACTCTTTTCCCTGCATCTCTCAGACTTTGATCAATCACACAGAATCTGTGAAGATTGTCCGATACTTATCATGGCAGACAAAATCTCCGGCGCCAACATGGGTGCCGTGGCCGATGCTCATCTGGATGAGGGAGAAAAGATGGATACGAAGGAGCGTGCCGTCTCTGTTTCTCCCGAGCCCGCGTCTACTTTTTTTGATAACAATCGCTCGATCTACTTGGATTCTAGCATCACCTTCGAGAACTACGTCTACTGGGCCCAGCGGTCGCGCGAGGTTGAAAAGAACATTTCGACTGACGATGCTGGATTTGCGTACTTGAGCAAGAAGCTTTTTAGTAAAAGGTCTGACGCTCCAGCGCTAACACAGAGACAGGCTCGGGAACAAGATGCCCCTGCCATGGCCGAGCCCAGCGCCAAATCTACCAGCAAATCGAACGGCAATAGCACAAGTGATGGTTGGGGCATCACTGAGACGGAATGGGAACAGGCACAGCGGGCCGCGCGAACTGCAACCTGGGGTTCGATCTTCTATCTCATTTCCACGGACATCCTTGGACCAATCAATGTCCCCTGGGCAATCAGTCAGATGGGCTTTGGGCCAGGGGCTGTACTTTACACTGTTTTCGGGGCCATGGCTTGTTACTCTGGCTTGCAACTATGGAGGATCTTCATCGGTCTTGATTCGACTCGATTCCCGATGCGCAATTATGGCGATGTGGCTTTCCGTGTGTACGGAAACTGGGCGCGCATCTTTGTGAACATCCTACAAAGCTTCCAGTTCTTCCTCAACGTGTCCCTGCTCACTGTAAGCAACGGACAAGGACTGGCGCAGATGGCCGTCGGTGCCAATGGCCAGGGGTTCCTTTGTTTCATCGCTGCTGAGGTTATCTTCATGGTCATCGGCTTTGTGTTCGGGCAGATCCGCACCCTGCAACGCCTTTCTTACCTGGCCAACATTGCGGTCTGGCTGAATATCATTGTCGTCATCATGACCATGGTTGTGGTCCATCAGTATCCCCCCAACTACTCAGCCTCGCTGACTAGCTATGGTACCCCAAAGGGGCCTGTGAAGACAAGCGGCTACTGGCCTGCGAGCTCAACTCTTAACGATAAAATCAACGCTATGATGAACGCTGTCTTTGCGTACGGCGGCGCAACCCTCTTCAATGAGCTCATGGCTGAGATGAGACGGCCATATGACTTCTGGAAGGGCTTTATCATTGCCGAGATCTTCATCTATGTTTGCTACCTTGTCTCGGGCATGGTTGTGTACAGTGCGCAGGGCCAATTTACATTCAATCCTTCTTATCAAGGTAAGCCGCATGACATCCAAGGGAGATCTTGAGGTTGCTAAGAATCCTGCAATAGGTATCCCAAATTCTGCCTACAATTTCCAGACTTTAGGCAACGCCATTTCTTTTATCACTGGCGTCATTGCAGCACTGCTATATGGTAACATTGGTATCAAAGTCTTCTACTCAGCCGTGTTCCGCGATATCTTCCATTTCCCAGAATTGAACAGCCGAACTGGCAAGTGGCTATGGGTTGGGCTTGGTAAGTTAAGATATAGATACGAAAGGCTCCATTTGTACACAAACATTAACGATCCCTCTAGTACCTACCTACTGGGCTCTCGCCTGGGTCATTGCCGCCGCAATCCCTCAGATCAGCAATCTAACATCCTTCGTGGGAGCCGCCTGCATCCTGCAGTTTTCTTACACGTTCCCACCAATGTTGCTGGTGGGATTCAACGTCCAGAATGATGCGATACTCCCCGAAGAGGAGTTCAACCCGACGACTGGCCAGGTGCAGCGCTTGGACAATGGAATCAGGCGGTGGATTAGAGGTTACAAGAAGAAGTTTGTGTGGAACACTTTTGATGTAATCTACTCGCTTGCGGCCTTGTCCGCCGCTGGCCTGGGAATTTGGGCTTCAGTTACTTCCATGAACACAAATTTCAAGGAGGGTAAACTGACCCATTTCACTTGTGCGAACCCGGCTGGATAGATCAGGTTCAGTGTTGAATTATAGGGCTGGGAATTTGTTTTGAACATGAACAAGTACTTCCAAGGTTAGCTACCTGTTCTGTGAATATATACAATGCCCACCCGGCTATCCACAATGAGTGGAACTGGTTCCATATGCCCTTAGTCGATGTACGTTAGACTGCAACGTGTTTTGGAGTCAAGAGGGTTGTTCTATTCACAAGTCCCCTATTAATACAAAGTCCCAGACGCCGTCTATGCAAAAAGAATTCTACTGAGCTGCGCACTGCGCCGGTTCACCGTCGTCTTCCTCGTCTTCCCATGCTGACGCGTCATGGCCATCCTGCGCACCGAAGTCTTCCATCTGACCCTTGGGGTCGTATTCAACTTCGTCCACAGTGTCAGCCTTGATAGGAGGGTTGGGTTTTGGGAGGATTTCCTTGAGCTTCTCCAGCATCTCTGGGGTGGGCTTCCACTTGTCATCGGGGAACTTGACATCAACAACCAGGTACAAGTCACCACGGGCATCGGTACGCTTCATGGGCATTCCCTCTCCGGGAACCTTGAGGACCTGTCCGGGTGAGAGGATAGCGCCGGCGGTGAGGGGGTGGTTAAGCTCAATGCCACGGCCATCGAGGTGCTTGATCACGACGCGGGAGAACCCGGTCAAGGATTCAGCAAGAGTGATATCGATAGTTGCGCGGAGATCCGAGCCCGCCCGTGTAAACACGGGGTGTTCTTCCTCAATGATTTTGAAAACAATGTCGCCGGGTTCTTGATCGGGCACCTGGTCGGCCTCGCCTTCCAACACGATCCGGTCTCCTTCCCTAGAGCAGTTGAGTATGTGCTTCCGTCAAATAATAAGAAAAAGACCGGCTTACCTCGCGCCTCGGGGGATGTAGATCTCCAGTATCTTCTTCGCCTCGGTTGTTCTAGTTCCCTTGCACTTCTTACACTTATCCTTCGGGGCGAAGTATGAGCCTTCTCCGCTGCAAGTGGTACAGATAACCGTCTGTTGTGTCACAAACTGGCCCATGCGCTGCAAGACCTCCTTGTGGCCATGGCCATCGCAAGTCGAGCACTTTTTGGCAGTGGCCTTTTCCTTGCCACCCTTGCCCTTGCAATGTCCGCAAATGATATTCTTGACGCTGGAAAACCTCACAGTCTTGCCCTTGTATAGATCCTCCAGGCTGACTTCGTAATCTTGCTCTTCGCTGGGGCTCTTGCGCGGTTTGTTGGGGCGACCACCGGGCGTTCCTCCCATTCCTCCCATACCAGGCATCCCGCCCATACCGCCCATGCCACCGAACATCTGTGCCAGCAGGTCATCCAGGTCAGGTTGCCCTGCCATGCCTGGCTCACCCGAGCCGTTGAAGGCAGACATGCCGTGTGTGTCGTAGAGGTGTCGCTTGTCATCGTCGTAGAGAATATCATAAGCCTCCTGTACGGCCTTGAACCTGACCGAGGCTTCCTCGCGCTCGGCTTCGGGAACTTTGTCGGGATGGTTGGCTAAGGCCGCCTGTTGGAAATCCGACTGTCAGTGTCGCTGGAATACGGAGAGGATCGGCCGTTGTCTTGCCTTGCGGTATGCCTTGCGGATGTCATCTTTAGTTGAGCTCTGATGGATCTCTAGGACCTCTGTATAAATGAATAAGTGATCAATATGGTATTTCTTTATAGTTGATCCGCGCAAAACATACCGTAGAGGTCAACTCCAGCCGTAGCCACTGGAAAAGTTGTTAGTAGAGTCAAAGAAAACACGGCTTTCCAACGTACTTATCAGTGCTTAATCAGTATAAAATACGGTCAGACTTTTTCTTCGGTAAAACGATGCCGTCAACTTAAGCCCGATAGTTAAAGGAGAGTGGTGAACGAGAAGTGAGAGCGGGAGTTGTTTGATCCAAAGAAGTTGAGAATTTTTGTTCGGCAGCTCCGCGCCGCAGCTCCGCAACTCCGCAACATCTCAAAGAGATCGGCCATCTATTCCTTTCATTTGACACTTGGACCGTTGTGCAATGAGGAGTCATCAAGGGCTATTTGCCAGGAGATCTTGGATCATTCAACGCAGAGCCTTTTCCTCTTCTCCGGCTGCTCGAGCACCTGGTTTGAAGAACAAGCTGCCGAATGGCCCTGCGCGCACGCGTTTTGCGCCCTCGCCCACCGGATACCTCCATCTAGGCTCCCTACGCACAGCACTCTTCAACTATTTGCTAGCAAAACGTACCGGTGGTCAATTCCTGTTGCGCATTGAGGATACGGACCAGGTTCGTTGGTTGCGCTCCGTTGCATGGGCTACGACTGATTACGATAGAAACGGACGATTCCCGGGGCGGAACAGCGACTTTACGATGATCTACAATGGGCAGGATTAAATTGGGACGAAGGTCGGACTGAAGTATATACAAATATTGAGGGCAATTGCTGACTTCTCGCTTTGATGACAGGTCCCGTCGTTGGTGGTCCCTATGGACCTTATAGACAAGTGAGATATCACACCTTTTGTCACGAAGCAAACCATTCCTAACTCTTGTTCCCGTATAGTCCGAACGAACAGCTTTATATCAGTCCCATGCCAACGATCTTATCTCCAATGGCCATGCATACCGGTGTTTCTGCTCCGCAGAACGATTGGATTCGATCGCCCGTCACCGCAGCCAGGCAGGACTGCCGCCAGGCTATGACCGGAAATGCGGCGATGTGTCTGCCGAGGAATCGGAAGATCGAGCAGCCAAGGGAGAGGCACACATTATCCGATTAAAAGTGGAGGAATACCCCGTGTTCAATGATCTGGTTTATGGCAAATCTGGTCAGAATCGACCGAACAACGCGAAGTTGGATTTCATCGACCGTGTATACAACGACCCAGTCCTTATCAAATCGGACGGACACCCTACGTACCACTTGGCAAACGTCGTGGATGATCATTGTATGAAGATCACTCATGTTATCCGCGGAACAGTGAGTTTACTTATTATATTTCTAGCTATCAAGTCACAAGATACTGAACTAACATCTATTAGGAATGGATGCCATCCACACCTATGCACATGGCGCTATATAATGCCTTCAAGTGGACGCCACCAAGCTTTGCTCATGTCCCTTTGCTCGTCGACAAGAGTGGACAAAAGCTCAGCAAGCGCAATGCAGATATCGACCTCTCCTCATTCAGGGATCAGCAAGGGATCTTCCCATCCACATTGGTGAACTTTGCTTCCCTCCTAGGCTGGTCACATTCCGAGAAGTCTGATGTGCTAAGTCTGAAGGAACTGGAACGGATTGTATGTCTTTCTCATTCTCGAAGACTTTTCACTACTAACAATGTTACTAGTTCAACTTGAAAATCACTCGAGGTAACACTGTCGTCTCCTTTGAAAAGCTCCTGTTCCTCCAGAAGGGGCATGTCCAACGCTTGGCCAAAAGCGGCGGCCCTGAGTTCGACGAGATGGTGAAGAAGGTGACCTTGGTGGTGGAAGAAAGCCATCCTCTGGACAAACTGTAAGTTGGCCATCAACCGTATAACTCACGCTTGGAAGCATGGTACCCCATGACTAACACCAAGCAGCAATACGATCCTCAAAAGTCGCACTCTCTCGGAATACATCGCGCCCCTTATCCGCGCAGATGCCAACAACTACACAAATGCAAAGGAGTTCGCCCAACGTAACTCCACCTTCTTTACCCCTAAACTCGACAGAGCTCCTTACAAACCGGTCTTACCCCAATCCTTCCCCGAAGTTCCAATCCAAGCCCTGCACACCGCAGCAGCCGCTTTAACCCTCGTCCCACCCGCAGCCTGGAACATCGACACACACCGTGACAACATTAACAGCTACGATGGCACAGAAATCGTAGTATCCTCGGCATCTAAGTCAGAGACACCCCTTGGCTCCAATAACGCAGCCAAAATATTCAAGAAGGAGCTATATCACTATCTCCGCTGGGCGCTGTCGGCTTCTGCGCCTGGGCCTGGAATCTCAGAGACTATGGTAGTCCTAGGGAGAGATGAGACACTTCGCCGAGTGCGGGACGCCAAGGCGTTGACACAGTCCTTGATTCCTTCTGCTGGCCAGAGAGTTCCTAAGGGAACTTTGCCTGAGGATCAGAGTTGGATGGGGACTCTTGCGACTAGCCGGTAATGTAAAATGAGATCGACTGACTGTACTATAACTGTATCTGATATAACCAATTCAAATATGTATCTTCTGAAGACAAGATATTGATGCACTCGCGCTTGCTTGGCAGGTTGTCCGTTTTTAACTGCGGTAAATAACTCCATGATAAGCAGCTGTCCTGTCCTGCTCTACAATTCCTCTACCAGAATTTACCGATTGATTGATATAGCGAAAGAACAAGTAACCATGTGCATCGCGGTCTAAGAGCTGTAACAAGTCTTTGTCTAAGTCGAACCCTCCACGACAATCATGTTTGCTTACCACAGGCCCAAAGAGGCTGTGGTAGCCTGACAACGAACACCACTTAAGTTTATATCAAAGGCTATACATAGAGAAGTCCATTTCACAACTAAGCCTTTTTTGGTCATTTTCTGCTGTCTACCCAGCAAACTGAGAAGGGGAGAAAATATCTATATAACCAGGCATCTAAAAAGACTAGCTGAGGAGACTACTAAGAAGACCACTAAGAAGACTACGACCGCATAAGCGGCCGACTATTCTTGTCCCTGAATAAGTCAAGTCTCTCCGCATAAGGTGTATTTATTGGACAATTGAACAAAGGCTTGAAGAACCAGAAGATAAAATTAACAACACCTTATCAAAACACTGTACTTCGCTGACAAATACATAGAAAAACGGTGAAAACCAAGGACAAAATCCGACTCCCAAAACCGGAGATCGAAAAGGGAATAAACAAGCCACAAGCACCAAGCCAATGGAAACAATAAGTGACAGAGAAACGAAGAAAGCTAACACCATGCCAAGAAGACCAGAAAAAGGAGAAGATTAAAACCAGTGGGAATTGAAACAGGAGGGTGTCAGTCGGGGAAAGGAAGCCAAGGTTTATCATGAGCCGTGCAGAATCCAGTCGTGGGATCATCAAAGGTCAACGGTTGCGTAACCACCGTTGAAAATCCGAGGCGCCGAGAGATAAGGTGCAAAAGGTGAAATGCATTATGGGGAGGGGATGCGATGTCAGGACATCTAGTAAGTTTCGTACTCATCAGCCCACTCGGTGTCACTGCCAGCAACGCGCAGGACCTGCCCGGGATGCGGACCGTCTGGACTGACACTGCGAATACCCTTGGCCTTCTTGCCAGTGAGATCGGATCCGTCCTCAGGTGCAAATCGCTTTCCTCCTTGTGCAGCACGGAGTTTGGAATAGTAAATCTCACTGGGATCGGCTTCCGATTCCGAGCCATCCTCGAAAGTCTCCCAGTTTTCAGATCCAGAGGTTGCAGTGTTGACTGTAGAGGAATTGGAGACCTGACGGGCAGCTGGGGGCGGAGCTGCGTGCTGCAGGTACGGGTTTGGTCGGGGGAAGGCTTGGCTAGAGTTCAGAGACAGTGACGACTGTGAGGAGTGAGATGAATGAGAGAACCCGGTTGATCTTTGCGAGTTCGAGAATCCTGAAGTGCTCATGAACGATCGCTGCCGGTCATCATAGACGTCTTCCGGGCTAACAGGCCGCACATAGGCACTGGACATAGCGCTGTTGCAGCGAGGCGGCTCCATAAGGTGGCTGAAGCGGTCTTCCCTTGACTCAACCGTTAACGCACGCATCCGTGGGGGAGGTCCGCGCGGGGGCGGCATCTTTCCATTAAGTGTGCTGGACGAGTAGGCACCGGGTTGTATACGACGTTCAGGGGAGTTGTTTCCATGGGGCATGTTTCCCAGTGGGACACGCGCGGGAAGCTTCGAAGGGGATGTTGCACCGGCTCTTGAGGTTGCCCCAGACCTAGAAGCACCGTAGCCAATTGTGTTGTGTTTAACTGGGCCGCTGCTGGTAGGTGTCTTGGTGGCTGAGCGGGGTGGAGGCGGGCCTCTCATAGAGCTTCCAGGCCGGGGAGGCGGGTGTTGTCTCATTGTGCTTGCTTTGGTAGTTGAGGGTGGTGCTGATGGTGTCTTTGAGCGTGGTGGGGGCATTGACTTGACAGGTGTCAACGAATCAAGATATCGGTCTCCATGCACCAGGAATGGTCGGCCGAATTCGTCTTCCCAATGCTCCAACTCTTTGCGCAGCTCAGCTTCAAGTTTCGGCAATTCTTTGGCGATTCTCTTGCGCAGTTTCTCCTCTCTCAAGAGCTTTCCAGGGTCACGCTTCTCTCCCTTGTTCCCGCGGCCCATGAGGCGGGATGCATCTTGGCTTGACGTTGCAAGTGCCTCGCGGTCTGTCAGAAGAGTGCGGTGTCTCTCAATCATTTCGAGAGTAGGAGCGCGCTGCTCCTTAAGAGCCTCCAGTCGCGTAATTTCGGCCTCATGAGCCTCGAGCAAGGCATCACTGCACACATCGGAAAATGCAGGTGTGAAATCGAGCATTTCCTCTTCGGAGAAGAAAAGAGCGTCCCAAAGTTCCTGCAATCGGCAGCGAGCATCCTCCACAAACAGGTGGAGATTTTGTCTCTTAAGTTCGTTGAGGCGTGTCAATTCATCTTCGAGGTCATTGATTACGCGCAAACCGCAACCGCGGTTCGCAGCCAGGAATGCCTTGCGATCAGCCTCCTCAACACCGAAGCGATCCCAAAGAGAGATTACAGTAGTTCTGAGTTCGTTGATCTTGCGCTCGCGGCCCTTCTTTTCTTCCACCAATTTATTTCGCTTGGCCATGAGGTTGGCGACATCATCTTCATGCAGCCCCAGTTGCTCAGGGGAGTCGCGATAACACTTCACGATAGTGGAATCTGTTTGCGCCTGGGGTGTCCCAAGCTCGGCCCAGAGCTTGATCATTTCTTCGCAGGCAGATTGGACCTGGGCAATGCGGCGGTGGTACTCTTCGTAGACGTGGGTGAATTCGGCATCTAATGCCGTCACATACATAGGCGAAAGGTCGAAGCTCGGCGGAATCGAGGACCCTGGCTCAGTGGGAGGAAGCTCGAGCTTGACAAACGATGGCTCGAGGTGTGAGGAGTAAGATTCAAGCGCGTCCACAAGTTCTATCGGATGTCAGTAAAGGAGTGCCAGCGACACATCACACAGATAACACTCACTCTTAACCTGCTCAAAGCGCTCACGATGCAACTTGCTCATCGCATCATTCTTCTCACGCAAGAATTCAATACATTTGTTAAGTGGGTAAGTGACACGAAGGTCGTCGCGGTTAAGCTCGTATTGGCCATTGGCCCGTTCATCGCTCAGGGACGATTCCATTTGTTCAATAGCTGTAATAAGACGTTCTGCTTCCTGCGCCATATCCTCTCTCTCCCTAACAATAGAATTAGCAAGCCTCCAAAGGGCCTGTTTATGGATGTAACTCACTCATCAACAACCTTAAGATGATTGTTCAAGGTCTCTGACAGGGCGCTGAAGAGCTGTATCACTCTGTTAGCCACGCGACAATGCCATTGTTACGCCGATATTGAGCTTACCTCAGCTTCACGGGACTCGCGCTCGCGCGCAGGAACTCCAATCTCGTCGTAAATCCCATGGAGCTGGGCGACGATGTTGTTGACCTGAGTGGTCAGGTAGCCGGTGTCTACCGCCATTGTAATGAAAGCCCCTTAATGAGGGTGTCAAAAGCCAAGACTAATAACAAAGAATGGGGTGTATCCAATCCAACGACACAATGCCGAGCGACGCTGCGACAGGGTGACCAATGTCGGGATCAAAACAAGAGAGCCTGGCACACAGCACACAAGGTGCGACGAAAATAAACGAAAGTAGAGGTCTGCGAAAGCACTTAGGGCAGCAACATAGGAAAGCGAGCACACTGTTGTTTATGAGGGGGAAGTACTGAAATCGCAGATGATAGATAACATCAAGTTTCCAAGGTCGCAAGTGGGTGTTTGGGCGCGATCGTCGTCCTGGGCAACGGATGACTCAGCCAACCCCACCGCCCAGTTCTGCCAATCAAATGATCAACCCCACGGCCTACTCTTACTTCATGCATTGACTTCTGATACTATTTATTCTCCGGTCCTTGCAGAACTCCCATTATCACTGAGATCCCTTGCCTTAGGTACTCTGATCCCTGCAATACATTGTGTACTTCGACTGCCTGCTCCATCCCCATCCATCCAAAATGCAGGCTGCCCAGCATGCCTGGGGTGAGTAGCTCCATACCCATATGACAGCCAGCTTGTAATTAACCAATGTCCCCCCACAGAGCTCCAGAACGCCATAACCGTCTTCGACCATCAACGAGACGCCCTCTACGAATACAATGCTGATACAGAAAAAGCCCTCAACGACGAGCGACCATGGGCCACCGATCCATACTATTTCAAGCACGTCCGAATCTCCGCTACGGCACTATTGAAGATGGTGATGCACGCGCGGTCGGGTGGCTCACTAGAGATTATGGGTCTGATGCAAGGCTACATCCTACCAAACACCTTTGTCGTGACAGATGCGTTCCGACTGCCAGTCGAAGGCACCGAGACCCGAGTGAATGCGCAGGACGAGGCAAATGAGTACATGGTCTCTTATCTGCAGTCGTGTCGAGACGCGGGGCGGATGGAAAATGCCGTCGGATGGTATCACAGTCACCCTGGTTATGGGTGCTGGCTGTCTGGGATTGATGTGGCCACTCAGCAAACACAGCAAATGACCGGACCCTTTGTCGCCGTCGTCATCGATCCGGACCGTACCATCTCCGCCGGCCGCGTTGAGATCGGCGCTTTCCGCACATTCCCATCGAACTTTACCCCGCAGAAGGAGGCTCATGAGGACGACGAGTATCAGACTATCCCGCTCGGGAAGGCGGAGGACTTCGGCGCACATGCCAATCAATACTACTCTCTTGATGTCAGTCATTTCAAGAGCACTCTTGACACGGAAATATTGTCCCTTCTATGGAATAAATATTGGGTCGCGACTCTCAGCCAGAGCCCTCTATTTACCTCTCGTGATTTCAGTAACAAACAGATCATGGATCTCAGCCAAAAAGTGCGCAAAGCCGCGCGTGGAATGGAGGCCACTGGTCCTCGTGCCGGTGGTGTCAACACCAAAGATCAACAGCTGGATAA